GCAGCGCCCCCCCCCCCCCCCCCGCCATGATTTCACACTTTGTCCTGGGCCTGTGACATCACTTCTTGTTTGTCCCCGTCATGCCACCTAGGTGCAGGCGGTTCTGCAGCGCAAAGAAGAGGAGGATCGCCAGATGAGGCAGCTCGTCCAGGCCCTACAAGCCTCCTTAGAGAAAGAGAAGCTGCAAGTGAACAGCCTCAAGGAGCAGGTGTGTGGCCAGCCTCTGGCTAGATTAGACCACAGCCTCAGAGTCTGGAAGGAGCTTCATAGCCTGCCCTCCATGCAGGTGCCCTCCCACGTATGTGACCTCGCGGGAGCTCACTCTGGAGAGCAGGGGAGTCCTTGCAGCATTTGGTGACAGAAGTGACAGCACTGGTATTGGTTAGGAGGAGGTGGTGTTAGATTTGGCAATGATGTAGCCATGAGGACCTGAGACAGACCGAGCCATGTGTATATAAGTATGTTTATATTTTGCTAGGAAAAGATGTCTTGAACGTAGTGTGTTGAAAAACAATCCTCAGGGGCTAGCCCCGTTGTGCATCAGTTAGGTGCTCTGCATAAGAAGCCGGATCCCACATGGCCAGCCATGGTTCAGATCCCAACCCTGGCAGCTTGAAAAACATAAGGCATGTGTATTTGTGTGCCCAGGAGTCCTTAGGGTGTGGACAAGTGGAATAAGGACTATACCGTGACTATGCCCTGTACGGGATACTTTGTCTTCTTCCCTCTTTTCCTCTCTCATAATATTTTAAAAAGGTTCCCTACTGAGACCCTGAGATTCTTATAAAGCAACCTTCAGAACAGTGTATGATCCAGGTGTGTTTAAGAGGCAAAGAAAGCTGATCACACAAACCCTTTTCTATGCAAGAGTCTTCTTTTCATGGTGGGCTCCTTTCCGTGCTTCCTGTACTCTCTGACACGTCAGATAAATTTCTGCAGTGGAGCAGCCTGCCCTGCAGTCACAGCCCCTCGTGTGCTACTGACGGGTACCCGTCTCCTGTCTCAGAACATCCTGTGTGTGCCTGTGCATACACGGGAGCGTGTGTGTTCACATGCATATTTTCGTGCCCATATATACATATAGGGAATTTGTAGAAGACATGCAGAAATGTCTGTGATTTTCTCTGTAGAAAGGTGGGCAATGCTAGCAAAAAGTACAAAGATTAAAATACAGATCATCTTGGGCCAGCAGGTGGCATGGCGGTTGAAGTGCTGGATCCCACATGGCTGCGCGTTTGAGTCTCAGACCCTGCAGCTTGAAAATCATGCTGGGCATGTGTGCGTGAGAGTAGAATGGAGGAGAAGGGATTGTGGTGTGCCCATTCCCCCAG